CTCAGTCACCTCCATGGAAGTCAAAATGGAGCGAGGCTTTTCCCCCTTCTACCAGTGATTACGGAATAAAATATGTTTCAGTGCTTTAAAGCCTGGCTTTATTTATCTTGGACAATGGGTAGTCCCAGGTGGCATTTGTGGCTTTGTTAATTAACATAACAAACATTAGAAATGGGCTTTCATTGGGGAAAATCTCAGTGATCAAGTAATATGATCCAACTGGAAATACCTTAGCCTGGGCCAGTGATGGCGAACCTTTTGAGCTCAGCGTGTCAGCATTTTGAAAAACCCTAACTTGACTCTGGTGCCGTGTCACATATAGAAATTTTTTGATATTTGCAACCATAGTAAAATAAGACTTATATTTTTGATATTTATTTTATGTATTTAAATGCCATTTAACAAAGAAAAATCAACCAAAAAAAATGAGTTCGTGTGTCACCTCTGACACCCGCGTCATAGGTTCGCCATCACTGGGCCCTGGGCATTCCTATTCTTTCTGAACTGGCTATGAGGGCAGACTGAGTCGTCAGCCTGAGAATGGCAGCACGGACTTGATCCGTCCATGTGGTCCTGCTGATTGGCAGTCTCAGTCAAGTTCTCCCACTAGAATGTGTCCCACCTGCCTCAGGTGAACAGGCAACTTGTGTGTCAGTGTACCAAGGAGGGCAAAGGGCTGGGACTTCATGAGGTCTCGGGTCAGGCTGCTGCCTGCCAATTACGTCTGCATGTGTGGCAGAATTTGGTCTGAGACCTGCTTTCTTTATAACTTGGAGCAGGTCATGAGAAAGAAGCTAAACTTCGTCCACCCATAACTACTGGCAACCACCAATATCTAACAAAACAGCCTAATCACTGTGTAAAACTGAGGCAGGTCCACTATCAGCGACAATGAGCAAGTGACACTCATTATCATTTATGTAAACTATAGTAAGAATAATCAGGATAGTAGCCAAGTGCTCCAACTCTCAGGTGGACCGGTGTTCAAGGCTTTGCTCCACCATCAAAAATCAGTCAAGCCAGAACCGGTTTGGCTCAGTGGATAGAGCGTCGGCCTGCGGACTCAAGGGTCCCGGGTTCGATTCTGGTCAAGGGCATGTACCTTGGTTGCGGGCACATCCCCCGTGGGGGATGTGCAGGAGGCAGCTGATCGATGTTTCTCTCTCATCGATGTTTCTGGCTCTCTATCCCTCTCCCTTCCTCTCTGTAAAAAATCAATAAAATATATATTAAAAAAAAATCAGTCAAGTGAATGTCTTTGTCTTGCTGCAGAAGGAGGCTAATTAAAACATTGCCCACCTTTTAGGTGTGTTGTGAAGAATGAATGACACAATGTAGATAAAAACAGACAGCACACTGCAGGCATGAAATAGACGTAAGCTATTGTTCTTATTACCAATACTGTTTACACTTGGCTAGAGTAAACCCTGCCAAGCCTTATTCTTGATTTGCCTTGGAAGGACTGTCTAGAATTTCTCAATTATACCTCTCACTTCCCCTATGACAGTATGTACTGTCGTTTTCTGTAGCTAGCTTCCCCCACACTTGCATCCCCCAATTACCCCATAAGTTCCAAGAGAGCAAGCAAGGTCTTGGTTCAACATCCAGTTCCCAGAGGCCTACCTGGGTGCTGGGTACCCAGAACGTGTTGAGTGATCTCTCTCCTCTAATGTCTGCTTCCATTAGCATCCATTAACCAAAAGCCTAATCAAAACCTAAGTGTATATCAAAGTCAATGAAAAAATAAAATAAGATGATAAATAAAATAAGCCAGGCTGGCATGGCTTAGTGGTTGAGCATCGACCTAGGAACCAGGAGGTCATGGTTTGATTCCTGTCAGGGCACATGCCAGGTTGCAGGCTTGATCCCCAGTGTGAGGCATGCAGAGGCAGCTGATCAATGATTCTCTCTCATCATTGATGTTTCTATCTCTCTCTTTCTCCCTTCATCTCTGAAATCAATAAAAATATTTTTTTAAATAAATAAATAAGATGAACTGAAGACTATCCAGGACAATGGCCACTAACAAACTAAGATTTTGGGGAGTTCCTTACTCTGTGCCAAACCTTGTACTAGAGACTGTTATCACATGAAATCCTCATAACCCTAAGAAGTATTATCACACCCATTCTACAGTTGAGGAAAACTGAGGTTAAAAGGGAATAAGTAACATGTGCAGTCACACCAGCCCTCATTGTCCAGACTTCGCAAATCAAACCCAGACCTGAGTCCAAAGCCCAGGCTCTTTTTTGGGTTACACATTGTTCCTGATGTGTTCCTGATTTGGATATTTAGTTTTTTTATAGGCATCTCAATTTTTAGTAAATAAACACACCAACCGCGGCTCAGTTGGTTGGAGCATCATCCCATACACTGAAAGGTGGCGGGTTTGATTCCGTAGGGGTGGGTAGAGGAGGCCACGGATTGATGTTTCTCTCTCTCTTTCCCTCCCTCTCTAAAAATCAAAATAAATAAATAAATAAATAAATAAATAAATAAAAATGTAGCAGAGCCAAAAAAAAAACCACTATGGGTTTTCCCTGCCAAATGTCCTCTTACCTATCAGCCTCCTATTCATCTCAATAAATGACACCATCATCTATCGAATTACTCAGGCCAAACACCGAATCTCTCATTCCCACACCGTGCACTCCCCACCACCTGTGATGACCACTGAGGGCAGGGACGTTTATCTGGCTCACTGCCACATCTCCAGCTCCTTGCACATAGCTGGTGCTGCTTACTGTGATATAAAAAGACATATATATTTGGTCTTCATCCCCCATATGGGAGGCCCAGGACTTGTGAATGGTAGCTGAAATGCGGGTAGGGTATGGAAGGGCCCAGTCCTGTGGAACTAAGCCCTTAAACCTGTGGAATACTAACTCCTAACTCCAGATGGTTAGTGTCAGAATTGAATTGAATTGCTGGGCATCCAGTTGGTGTCCAGAGAATTGAGTAATTGATTGCCTGGGGTAAGTGGGGACCCTATTTATTTATTTATTTATTTATTCATTCATTCATTCATTTTTATTGATTTTTAGAGAGGAAGGGAGAAAGAGAGAAAACACTGATCAGTTGCCTTCCGAATGGGCCCAGAGTGAGAATGGAACCCACAACCTGAGTATGTGTCTTGACCGGGAATCAAACTGCCACCTTTTAGTGTAAGGGGGGTGGGAGGGGAGGGCATTCCAACCAACCCCATACATTTGATGTCAGAAGTGCTGTGAGTAAAAACAGTTCCTAGGTGCTCAAACAAACAGCTAAGTTTCTGCTGGTCTCTGAGTTTTTTAAATGCAAGCTCATTAGTCACTTCATACGAATGAAGTCACAGTGTCATCACCCCCTCACTGCCTTGAGACCCACCGCAGTGATGTCTCAAGCAGTCCCAAGAAAGCAGAAGGTAACTTTTCTGTGATGAATGGCCAGGATTGGGTTCTTTCCAAAGTCCTGACAGGGGGATTTTAGAAAGAAGTCATTAAATTCTGCCACAAGATCAGCTATACCAATAATCCTTTTACAGGGTCCACCTGAGTACTGGTGATAATTTTCAGAGCTCTCACTTAGCTACTTGGACTGACAGAAAGGTTCACGGGGCTTTCAAAGAACTGGTGGCGACGCCCCAAAATATCTGCGATGTAATCACTATGAATGAAAAGTATTGCATCGAATTGGAAAGTATCTCAAAACAATAAAAGATTCACAAAGCTTTCTTGAGATTCAGAATATTCAGAAAACAGCTTTTTCAGGTCCACGTTGGTCTGGGAAGCCCCGGAAAGATGGGAAGCATCCTCTCTCTCTTTGCATGACTCAGAGCTAGCCATTCACCTCACGTTTAAAACCTCAATTTTCTCATCTCTGAAGGCCAGCTTGAATGCATGCCAAGTGCAGTATGAGACCTCAAAAACCGAGCCATAACTCCAGGCGCCACTCCAAAGAAGTCGGATTATCGGCCAGTATATAGTACAATCAGAAGGTTTCAGAAACCAGTAACAATTTAACCTCTCCATCACTTAGGGGCTGGCCTCGCTTGTCAAAAGCTGAATGTGTTAGGAAGCAAGAACATCTCTGACCCTGAATGCCCCCAGAGTTAAGATTCTTTTGTGGAAACAACCATGCTAATAATCAGTACGGGCTGGGAGGAGGAAGACCGGCACCGGGAGGGCTTTGCCTATTTCTTTTTTTTCTAACTGCAGGAATGAGCGAGAAATTAACATGAAAGGGCTAAACCCTATTATTCTGCCGTGATGCACTATCGGTAGGAGACGCCTATTCCAAACGGGCATATGTTTTCAGACACCAGGAGTTTAACAAATGAGAGTTACAAAACAGGCTCGGGCAAGTTCAGTTTCAACCCCGGTGGGGAGGCTCCAGCTCTACCCAGGCAGCCGCGGTGGCGCCCCGCCGGCGTTGGGTCGGGGAAACGCAGGAGGCAGGGCTTCGCCTTCCCTGCGCCTAGACCTGAGCGCTGCGTTCGGAATCCGGGCTTGGGGACGTTCCCGAAGGTACAGAGCCAATGCTCTAGCCTGGCAAAATGCCAAACGCAACCTGCATGCCCCAGGACCCGAGTTTTGTTTAGAGCTTGGGAAAGGAGATAGTGCCCAAACCCGCGTCTTTCCCTGGGTGAGCTCATTTGTGTCCTGGGAGGAGATGACACCCTCCAGGAGCAATAGGGATCTTCCACCAAGCCCTGCCCACCGCGCCCCAGCGAAGTCCTGAAGGCCGGTCGGGGAGACCTCGGGGTAGACCCTCGGGCTTCCCCGCGTCCCTGCCCGCCCGCCCGCCCGCCCGCGCGACACTGGGTTTCCCCGCCTGCCCCGCGCCACGCTCAGGCCCGACGCAGTCACCCAGGCGGCGCGGGGTCTGCCCCGGGCGATCCACCATCCGCACCATGTTCCACCTCGGAGCTCGGTGCACACCCAGGGAAGCCGGCGCGGTGCCTAGGCTCCCGGCCCCACCGCGCGATCCGTCGACCCCGCGCGGCACCCAGCCCAGCTCACCTGGCCCGCACAGCACTGCGCTGACATCGCGGCGGCCGAGCACCACGGCGCCCCGGCTGGCTCCCAGCTCCCCTCCGACAGTCCTCGCGCCCGCCGGCCTCGAGCGCCCCTCCGCACACCCTCAAACCTCCACCGCAGGTAGTCCTCCCCCAGCTGTGCGTCAGGTACCAGAGCCCGGGTGAAAACAACCCGTGCAAAACCCACCGCCGCCGCAGCCCCGCCCCGCCCGCCCCCTCGAGCCCCGCCCCCTATTCGCCCCGCCCCGGCCCGGCCCACTCCCGCCCCTTCCCGGGCGTCGGCGGCGTAGCGAGCTCGGCCTGGCCGAGGCACTTCCGCTGGCGTCAGGCCGCTGGGGGCAGGTGTCACTTCCCGGTGTGGCATCAGGCTCCGAAGTCCGCCAACGGGGGCCGGCGGGCTGTGCGCCCTCGGTTCCCTGGCTCCCGCGAACGTGCTGGCTGCCGACTCCAACAAAGCAGATTCCCGGGTCCTGAGCCCACCGCCGCCGGGGGGACCTCCGGGGCCGGTCCGCGCTCTGCCTCGCGCCTACGGGGATCGCCACGGGACCCCCGTCCCTGAATCCCTCTTCCTTCCTCACTGCCAACTCTCGGGAAAGTCGTCCCTACCCAAGCTTCCTCGGATCCGCACTGGGCTGTGCCGCCCTGGTTTCCAGGGCGCTGGGGGGGACCCAGCGAGAGCCCTGGGCTCACACCGCTCGGTATTAGTCTGTTGTACAGCCTCTCCTCCCTCATCCTCAGAGAGCGCATCCGCGGCCCAGGGACTCAGTTTGCTTCGCTGCGTCCTCTCACCTGGCCTTTCTAAAAAGGGCCTCCCCAATAATTGCTTGTTGCATTCAGAAAGCAGAGAGGGGTGCCCCTAATTTTTCTCCCTACCCAAATATTCTTCTCCCGGCCACTTCCGCAAGAAGGATTTCTGGCCCTGGCCGGTTTGGCTCAGTGGATAGAGCCTCGGCCTGCAGACTGAAAGGTCCCAGGTTCGATTCTGGTCAAGGACATGTACCTGGGTTGCGGCACATCCCCAGTAGGGAGTGTGCAGGAGGCAGCTGATCCATGTTTCTCTCTCACTGATGTTTCTAACTCTCTATCCCTCTCCCTTCCTCTCTGTAAAAAAAGCAATAATTATTTTTTTTAAGAAGGATTTCTGTTCGGAAGAACTTTGCCCCAAGCCCTATTGTTACCCAATCCCTTGAGTTCGCTGATTGGGGTGTTCTGTTCAAGAACTAGGCATGGTTGTGGCTAGGCAGTTTAATTTACTTGCAGCAAGCAAAGGAGATAAGGAATTCACATCCAAAGCTCTGCTCTGTCTCCCTGAAGGGAGGCTTAGCCGTTGCTTATATACACTATTTGGTTAACTACATGTTGGTTTCTCCTTTGCAGTTGACTTACCCTGTCTAGTTCATCCTGTTACAGCTGCTTCTGCATAATACTGTGATAGATTTTAACATTTAACAAGTATTCATTAGGAACTGCCCAGACGTTGAGACCCATATCCTATCTTAACACTTTTAAATCAGCATTACTGCACCTACTCATTTTAGAAATGAGGAAAGTGAAGTCCGGACAGGTTAAATAACTTGCTCAAAGCTTCACAGCAAAGCTGAAGGGGCAAAACTGGGAGTGGAATCAGAACCCGCCTGTGTGATCTGCACATGGCTCACGGCTTGCCCTTGGGTGGCTTCCAGACAGTCTTTGGCAAGGAAGTGACTGGCTGGGCAGTTCAGGAGGCAGAGACTTAGGAGGAACGGCAATTAGAGGAAGAGAAGTAATGGAACGGGCCCTACTCAGCCATAGAAATGAAGAGAGTTGACTCTAAAAAGAATTTCTAATAATAAAAATTTAAAAAAATAATTTTTTAAAAGTGTAAACAGCATAAACAGTATTAGGCCAGTGTGGCAATTCTGCATGATGGCAGCTGGCAATTCATGAAAAGCCAAACCTCTCACCGGGACTTCAGTGAGCTCCGTCATTGGCTGCAGCTGGCACTTTGGCCCCACCTCTCACTAACTCACCCAGAGTTTCCATCCTGTGGGAAGAGCCAGGCAGCTTCCAGGGAAAGGGAAGGTATGAAATCTACATAATGTTTGAGCAGGCTGGGACTCTGAGGCCTCTTAGCCTTTGACAGAAACTGGGGTTCACAAAATCGGAAAACTCTTACCAGGGAACACTGGGCCGGAGACAGAACTGGCGGTAGGATTCCGGCCTCCTGACCTTGAATCCCGTGCTCTTTTGACCAAGTCGGTGCCAACATAGGAGAATTCCGTGACTATATCAATGTCAGCCTAGCAGAGAAAGAGAACACAAGTCTTTTAACTGTACCAAGAACTGGCTGGGCCACCTCTGAGCCTCCGTTTTATCATCCGCAAAAGGGAGCTGATGAGAGAGATCGATCAGCTGCCTCCTGCACGCCCCCCAGTAGGGATGTGCCCGCAACCAAGGTACATGCCCCCGACCGGACCCCTCAGTCCGCAGGCCGACGCTCCATCCACTGAGCCAAACCTGCAAGGATTAGATAAACTCAGCCTGCAAACCAGGCAGTACAAGGCCTTGTCTTCCTAAGCACGACTAAATTAGTAGCCCTGACTGCTATTCATAAGCAAGTTTAAAAGATGCTGCCGTAACCGGTTTGGCTCAGTGGATAGAGCGTCGGCCTGCGGACTGAAAGGTCCCAGGTTCGATTCCGATCAAGAGCATGTACCTTGGTTGCGGGCACATCCCCAGTAAGGGGTGTGCAGGAGGCAGCTGATCGATGTTTCTCTCTCATCGATGTTTCTAACTCTCTATCCCTCTCCTTTCCTCTCTGTAAAAAATCAATAAAATATATTTTTTTAAAAAAGAGAGATGTTAAATAAGCTGTGCAGGTTGATTCCCCTCTTCCTGCTGGAAGATCTCAAAGGAATGTGGCCGTGTCTGGAGGTGCAGCCACCTTCCTGGCTCCGGGGCTGTGCAGTTACTATTTAAGGTCATGTTGGTAGCATCCTTTGCATCTGTGGTAGGTTAAGGATAGAGGTAATGTCAACAGGCATAAAACCGTGGCACCTTAATTTTAAGTACTCTGCAGACTTTTTCAAGTAAGACTGTTGTACATGGTGTTCCTAACATGTAGGTAGTTTTGCAGTCCATCTCTTTTGAAGTGGCTGTTTCAGGAACAAGCAGTAATAAACCTGTTTTAATATGACTGTAGCTCTTGGCAGTCCATGTGAAATAGTTTCCCCTCGAAAATTTTCTTAAATTAACTGAATTCGTTCTTTTTATACAATATAATTATACATGTATATATAACATTATAAATAACCATCTTATAATTTGCTATTTTCCCTCCTGAATTTGAAGATTTGTTTTTTCCTTCTTAGGAAGGAGAGTTCAATGTTGACTTTAAAAACACCACACCCTGAACTAAAAACAACAGTGGCATATATATGTTATTAAAGAAAAAAGCATAACCATAGACACCCACTGTTTTAACCTTCAATGAATTTAGAAAACTCCTGGTTCAAAGGTCAATGCTCAGCCACTGAGCCACACCAGCCTTCACTACAAATTTAATTTCCACTTCAAGATTGGCTTAAAAACAAGTAAAATTAATTCTTCTACCCCCCTAAAACCTCAACTTAAAAAAAAAAAGCCTAGTGATGTGTTCTGTTGGGTTTTAAATATAGAGGAGGAAATTTCTCTAATATTCACTTATAAAGTCTCTAGAGACCTCAATCTAGTAGTGGAAGTTTAATTAATTTCAATTACAAGTAAACAATAAAGTATTCATTTAGAACCAAATAGCTATAAATTTGGGGCCCCGGGTAAAAAATAATCAGAGCCCCATAGTGCCCCCACCCCACTCCTGCTGGTAACTGAATTCTCATTTATTTCTATTAAATTAATATATTCACAATGTTTTTTGAATATCAAAAACCTTTAAAATACAAAATGAAAAATAGCATCTTCCTTCTGCACAACCTACCTTACAGTCCCCTCCACAAAAGCAACCATTATCAACTATTTTTGCAGCTTTCCTTTCACATTCTCAAATAATATTCTTACACTGAATATTATTATTTCCTGATCTGTTGATTATATTCTGTATTATCTTTTTTTTTAATGACTTGCAAGAGAGGGAGGAAGAGAGAGAAAGAGAGAAACATTGATTTGTTGTTCTACTTATTTATGCATTCATTGGTTGCTTCTTGTATGTGCCCTGACTGGGGCTCAAACCCACAACCTTGGCGTATTGGGACAACATTCTAATCAACTGAGCTACCCAGCCAGGGCCTCTTGTGTATTATCTTTTATGTTGTGTTATGTTAAGCTGAAAGCTTAACCACCGAGCACTCCCATCTGCCCTCTTGCTAATCTATATCATAGTTTTCATAAAAATAATTGTCAACATATGTAATTATTGCTAATAAAATTATTATATAGTGAGAGCATTTCTTTCTTAACAACTTTTTATTTTTTCAGTCCTATCCCCTTTTCCTGGAGAGTCAGCATATTCGAGTGGTTAGGGGTAGGGACCCTAGAGCCAGACCCTCGATCAGATCTTTGCTTTGCCACTTACTTGATCTGTGATTTTGAGGCTGTGACTTCATCTCTCTGCACTTCAGTTTCCTCTTCTATAAAATGAGAAGGTTTAATAAGTTCTATACATATGAAAGCACTTAGAACAGCACCTAACATGTATTAACTATTTGCATGGTTAGCTGTGTACACAATCTTGATTTTTCTCCATTTGTCTATCTGCCTGTCATAATTCTTTTTCTCAGGTACTCAACCTTGTAGAGAATCTATCAATTCCATTTTCCCAAGAGCCCTCTCTATCTCCCACACTGCTGGACAGGCTGCTGCTGCACCACTGCCACCCTGGCGACCCCCTTGCCACTCTCTGTTGATGTCTGGCTGTCTGTGGTCCTCTTTCTCTCTTCCTAGTTTTGGTGAGCACATCAGCAGCTTCCAGACTCCAGAGCCCCTGTTTTGAACCCTTAAATTCCCTTGAAATGCCCAACTTAAGATAAAAGATATTTATCTTCCTTTTTAACACTAATCCTTCCATTGTGCCTCATCCTATGTCTAATTCCATGACCTGTCACCTTGATTTTCTGTCTCCCAAGCATTTTCAATCCTTCCTTTTAAAAGGGAGGGGAAATTTTTCCTCTTTTCCCTCTTAGTTCTTCTGGCTGGTC